TTACCATGGCGATAGGAGCTCACCATAGAGCCCCTAGAGCAGACAAAGAACGTCAGTTCTTCGTCTGCTCTGTGTGATCACTGAGACCGTGGCACTGTAGTCACAGCGCCACCTGTCTCAGCGGTCACTAACTGCAGCTTCTGTAACAGCTTCTGTCACAGAAACTGTCACAGAACCTGCCTGCGTCCTATGGTCCGGTGCGCCTTATGGAGTGCAAAATACGGTATTTCATATACACTACAAATTTTAATTCTATTTTTTTTTCCAAAATTGATTTTTGAAGAAATAACAGGCATATCAAATGCAACAGAAAAAGCAATATCTCAAAAAGGTAGAAATACAACAGTTCACGAGTGACCCACGTCAAGCGTTATGACTATCAATCATCACTTTGGTTGGTCGAAGTATCTAGTGAGCTATTGTACAAGAAGAGAACAGAGGAAGGAAAAGGGATCTAGGGAGGGAAAGGGAAGAGGTAAAACCCATTAACATTAGCACCTTAAGGGATCCACATTTTCCACTTTCTGTGAAACAGTGGCAGCGTACCGTTTTAAAACGCATGTAGCCGCTCAAATTTGTAGTGTAATGTTAAGATTTGATGTGTTTCGCTCACAGAGACACTTAGCGGGCTTCTCCAATGCTTAACAATGCTAAGTTGAGCAGCCAACAGAGCATGGACAACCAGCGCACGAAAATGAACAGGTAATCTATCTATGCTTAGAAGCAAAAGTCCCAATGCTGGATCATGGTCAGTCATAGATGAAACTATTCTAAAGATGCCATTCCAAAAGCTCTTCAATAATTTACAGCTCCACAGTGTGTGAAGAAGCGTACCTATTTGCCCGCACTGTCTCCAGCACAGTGCCAAAGTTGTCAGGGAGAATTTCGATAAGCGATATGGCGTGAGGTACCAAGCGCACTTAGATATTTTATGGAACAGCTCCCACAGGTCAGCATTTTTGGTAGCGAAGTGGATGGAGTTGCAGGGGGCTGTCCATTGTTCAGGGGAAAATGACATCTCCAGTTCCCTTTCCCATGCTACAAAGGCTGGCAGTTTAATAAAGGTTTTTTTCCTTTGTAGGAAATTGTAGATCAATGATATACCCCCCTTACGGACGGTAGTAGATGATAGGTATTGCCAAATCTGCGCTGGCACCCTAGGCCACACAGATAGAAGGGAGGGAAGCGCATGGGCAAGTTGTAGGTAGGTGTAATAGTCCCTTGAAGTGAGACTGTATTTGGAGAGTAAGTGCGGGAAAGGTCATATTTTGAGGTCATGGAGCAGATCATGGACCCAACAAACTCCCCGTCTCACCCAATGTGTGTGAGGACAATCAGGAATAATTAGGGCCAGGGCTGAAATAGGAATCGGAGTAACCAATTGGTCTGAGGGGGTCAGCTGGAGCATGGATAGACTCCAGGCTTGTATTGTAGCTCGGATAGGAGGTGAGTATTGTGTCCTGGGAGTGGAAGAGGAGGTATGGAAGAGCACTAAGGGACCCAATGGGGCCCCTTGAGCTAATTTAGCGGAGTTGGGAAATCACTTCTATTTTTTTATTATTATTATTGTTATTATTATCAGGCCTCAAAATTTCCACTCGCCCCCTCACAATTGGCGAGTGAAAATTGCGTGGGGGTGAGTGGAATGTCATGGGGGGGGGGCGCCGCCGACAGAACCAGGGGGAGTTAACTACCACCACTTCCTTAGTGGCGATCGCTCTCTTCAGTGCTCTCTTCTCATCCTCGGCCGCTCTGTAGCTGCAGTGGCCGAGGATGAGAGGAATCAGTTCTGCTGTCTTTCCTTCGGCTCTTTCAGCCACCTGCAGCTTCCTCCACCCACCTCAGTTGCCATAGGCTGGGAGGAAGCCTGCAGAGTTACTAAATGTATGCAGCGTGGGACCTAAAAAGAGAGTTTATTTCTGTACATAAGGATAAATCTCTGTGCCCCACCACCACCACTACCAGGAGAGGAATACGATCAGCTATGTGCAATGTAAGTCCCTGTTCTTTCTTCCTTACACCGCTGACCTCTGCACTCTGTCTTACATTACTGACCTCTGCACTCTGCGTTACATTACTGATCTCTATACTCTGCGTTACATTACTGACCTCTGCACTGTGCATTACATTACTGACCTCTGTACTGCTGACCTCTGCGTTACGTTACTGACCTCTGCACTGTGCATTACATTACAACACTAAGTCCCTGTTTATTCTGCTTTACACTGCTGACCTGTGTACTGCTGACTTCTGTACTGTGTGTCACACAGTTGGCCTCTGTACTGTGCGTTGTTACTGATCTCTGTACTCTGCTTCACACCGCTGGCCTCTGTACTCTGTGCCACACCGCTGGTCTCTGTACTCTGCGTCACACAGCTGGCCTGGCAGAGTTAAGGCCAGGGCAGGGTAGGGGTTAGGTGGGGCAACTGGTAGTGAGTAACTTTCAAGGCCTGGCTAGTAACTCAGGACTTGAAATTTTGAGCCCTGTTATTATTATTTTTGTTATTACTATTATTATTATTATGACAATATTCACAACAGCTACAGCATCAATAAAATATAATTGATTTATGTTGTCGATGGACCAAGTACCTGCACTGTACACTTTCTTGATTTGTGGTAATTGCTGGTTAGTTCTTGTCACACAGATTTCAATGATGGTGTCCTCATCTGTTCCAAGACCCTATAAAAAATAACATACATTTGTATCGCAGTGTTTCTGTCATAATAATATTTGGGTTGTGTAATGTGATTTTGCTGTTAGGTCACCTATCACCTATTAATTCACCTTTCAAATGACTTTAAAGAAAAACCCTAGGAAAACCTTTTCTTCAGTGTGACTACCATTGCACTGCAAGGGTTAGTGCTTGTTTTAAAATAACAAAGTTATACTCACCTGAAGCTTTTAGCTGGAATCTTCCTCAGCGTCCTTATGTCTTTACACTGTGTATAGAACGTGATGATTTACGGGACCTTAGACTGCTGCAGAGGTGAGGGAGAGAGGCTGGAAGATCGGTCTAAGAAAAAAGCTGGCTCGGAGTACTGTATGAATATAGCTTTTTTTTTTTGACCCTAGACAAAAACAAGCAGTTAACCCTTGCAGTGCAGTGGTAGCCCCACTGCAAGGGTTAATACAATTTGTTCCTGTAGTTCTTCTAATATTATCCTATGATAGTAGGGCTGATCTCTTTGAGATAATATTCAAAATGCCAGCCTACATATTTTAAAGTATATGTGAACTCTAATATGAATATAAACATGACCTCTTCCAGCACTGAAAGGAAGCCATCCACTACAGTGAAAGCACATGGCAACATCACAAGAAGTGACATCCGTGCCTGTCACTGTATACTGTATACACTGTATACACTGTATATCTACTAGTGGGAAAACCTCCCTCAGAGAAGATTACTCTATTGCTTGGAAACCTTGCACAGATCACATTACCCTAACTGTGAAACAAGAAGACACACAGACGCAGAGTGTGAGCATATCCGTCTGCAGATTTCTCTCAGCAACACACTTACAAGAGTGAAATCATCACCACTGTCTTGAAATGCTCGAAAGCATTGTCACCGTCAGAACAGAAATGGTTGTATCTGACAGGATCAGGTAACATTATAAAAATGACAGAGAAATTAAAATTATTTTTAGCTGGGGGCCTGGGGCAGATGACAGGCGCATGACTGACATTGTATAAAGTTCTACTTTAAGTGCCTGTTCACACGACGTCCGTTTTGTGTGCTGACCTGATCAGTACGCTCCTGCACTCAAAATGCATCCCAATGTATCCCTATGTGTTTTATGGGCTACAGTTCTCACGTTCAGGTTACGACAGAAAAATACTGCATGTCACATTTTGTACGGTCAGCAAACGCGTCAAAAACGCACTGCACTGCAGCTAACATACTAACAGCCCCATATACTGGAACGCATCCAAAACATGGCCAAAACGCACTGCATCAGTAGCACCGCGTCTGCAGATCAGGACCTGATCAGGAAATGGAACTCATGTGAACAGGCCCTAAGGTTCACATACACTTTAACCCCTTCATGAGGCCTTTTTTTCATTTTTTGCACCCATGTTATATTCCACATTTTAGAAATGAAAATTACTTAAAACCCCAAAACATTATATATTTTCTGAAAGCCAAGACCCTAAGACCATATAGAATATCGTGGTGGCAGTTGCAAATTTTTATGTTGCACGATATTAGCGCAACTCCTTATCAAACCCCAAAATGTTGTGAAAACTGTACTTAAATGCCCCAAAACACAATAAAATACCCATCTTTTTAATAAAATATAAATGATGAGGTTACAACGATAGATACCCAACATTCTCAGGTTAAAAATTGTGTGCGTCCGTGAAACGGCGACAAACTTCAGTACCCCAAAAAGTCCATAGACGCTGCTTTAAAAGCCCCCGCAGGTCATCAATTTAGAGATACCCAAAAATACTGGCCCTAGAATTATTGTTCTCACTCCAGTGTGAGCGGCGATACCCAACATGTGTAGCGCGTTCGTCGCTTTCATATGTAGCCGCACCCAACGTGTTTTTACGTGGTGACGTGCTTGCTCGCGGGGGCCTTAAAAAATATTTTTACATTATTTTTTGATTTATTTTATTTAATTTTAAAAACGTATTATTATTTTTTTACTTTACTTTGATTGCTATCACATAGGGGAGGCTTACAAGCCCCCCATGTGATAGCAGATGGTGGTGATAGGTGCTCTTTAAGGTGATGCTGGGGGTCCAAAGTCACCTAGTGTCACCTTTACACTCCAAATAAGCTGATCGCACTTCAATAGCTTATAGCTGTGCTTCCGAAGCCCAGCACTGACAGCTATGGGACCGGAAGTGATCCAATCTGCATCGCTCCTGGCCCCATACAACGGGGAGGGGATCGACAAACGGAGGTTCGTCTATCTCCTCCCCAGCTCCCTGCCGACATAAGAGAAGCCGGTTCCGGGCCTGTAGGAGGGGCAACGGAGCCCAGGAAGCACACCCCCGATGACAGCGACGTACACTGTACGTCGTCAGTTATGAAGGGGTTCAATATAACTCTATTTTATCATAATTACAGCTCTCCACTAATTAACAGGCTCAACTGTGCAAAACTTCAAAATGTATCCCTTATGACACAACATTAGAAAACCACAATACACCCTGCATCTTTAAACACAATACCTTTGTTGCACGGTTAAGCTCATGAGCATCAAACTGAGCTGGAGTTTTTATCAAATCCAACATGAGAGGTTGAAGTTTACCACTGAGAGCTTTCTTCAGGCTTTCTTCCAAAGTCTGCAATACAATAAGCACAGTTAATAGAAATATGTCTGTCTAGTTGTAGTTGTTCATTAAACCTGCAGCCTTGGTAAAGGTTTTAATAATTATATGCTGTATATTTACCATACCAAACTGTTAACCCCCTAAACCCCTTCACACTCCTCAAGTACATACATATATGTAGGTCTACCTAAAAAAACACGATTGGTTCCAAGTCAGATTTTACACCTCTGAGCAATCCCTGCACAAGCTACAGAATGTGAAATATTTAAATGTAGAGTACACAAAAAATTCACCCATAACTACACTTTAAACGGATGGTAATAAGATAGCATACAGGCTTTGTTGACTTGATAAAAATCTCAATAAACTCTTAGTTAAAAAAAAAAAAGATAGCATACAGGCGTTGGAGAGCTTCAAAAAACTTGTGGCTTAAAGTGATATTAAAGTCAAAATGTTTTTAGGCGATTTCAAATGCTGTTACTTGGTGGTTAGAGGTTTTAGTTTCCTGCAGAATCAATTGGTCCCCTGTGCACTGGTCCTGATATCCAGCTTTTGGATAACTCGTTTCCTTTCTGGGTTCCGTTGAAGCCACCCTTTTGTGTGCTAGTAAACTGTGTGTGTGTGTCTCCACAAGCACACATACACAGCAAGGCAACCTACTCTCCTCCTCCCTGTTCCTCCCTTCTCTAGTAGATGGACAGTTGCTGGAGACTGCTCTGTCCCTTGTCATCTTGTACTGGACAGAATGTTCAGGGAAGCCGAGCAGTTGGAGCCAACTGTTTGGAAACATGATGACTGTAAGTGTATGGGCAAAAAGTTAAAGAAATACTTTGCTGGGAAATGTATATTTGTTAGATATGTATTAATGATTAAAAAAAGTTTTAGAGTTTAATACTATTTTTAGATAGAAATAAAAGAGTTAACCTAAGCAGCATAAAAAAAGATGTAGGAGAGACACTAAAGGGATGTCATGTTCTGTAGCTATCATTGTTTTCCCATGCATCACCTTTCCAGTTTTCTTTTGGTAAGCAACTTTAATTTCTTGGCGTTGTTCATTGGTTCTTTTTGTTAAAATGTCGATAATAGTTCCTTCATCAACACCTAAAGGCAAATATAATCATGTCAATAATTACACAGATTGATAGCTATATCATGGTCATGTAAAAAAACATAAAGGTATACTTAACTTTGATACTGACATGTTCTTGCAGCACTATAGCTTGTTTTTTAATAACATATATTTAATTTTACAGTAAACCTTGCATGAACATGTAATGCATTATTAAAGTGTCACTAAAACTTAAGAACAAATGTGTAGAATAGCTCACCTTAATGTTAGTATGTTCTTTGGAGTTCTTACTCTGACATTGGCAGGAGGTCTTTGAAGTTTCTTTTTTTAAATAGAGGCATGCAGCACTTCCTTTTTCCTGGTGGCTACATTTTCTCTTCATGCCTCCATGGAGGATCTAGCGTAGCTACCAAAATGCTCACTCCCATGCAGTACTACAGAAAGGACATGCGGGTGCTGCTTGCTCTCTGAAGGTTCCTACTCCCTCTGGACTGCCCAATCTTTGCTTCCGTGTCAGAAGGAGGCTTGTCATATGTGCTAGTGTATGTGCTCCCTCTCTTTCTCCTCGACTTCCTGCCACCTCCTTCACTGTTACCAAGGTTGCACTGTGTGGGTGCACACTGAATCATGGGACATGTAGTCCGTAAAGGAGGCTGGCCAGTGCCATGCATGACTGCACACACTATCTGAAAGCTGTGGAACTGAGCTTGGGCCCTGTACATGGTGCTGCACTCAAGAATTTTATATTAATTTACTATCTATGTTTTAACTTTTAATCTATTATCTACTCCTGTGCCATTTTTTTACATGAGCCTTTAGTAACACTTAAGTTAGAAAGGTGGCACTGTCTCTGCAAACTATACCATTTTTAAGACTCATCATCATTAGGACACTGAACAATGCACAGAGCCATATAACTCATAGCAACCAATTAGCTATAATTTTGCGCTGAAGTTGCTAGAGGGCCAGACCATTATAAATAAATAGGGAAGCAGGTTGTTTACCACGACAGTAGTAGTGATTTTTTTCTGAAGATATGGGTAAACAACACAATTTAACAGCCTTTGAACATGGGATGATTGTCGGTGCTCGGAGCCATGGAGCGATTATCAGCAAAACAGCAGAATTTGATGCTGAGCAGCTGTTGTTAAAGTGTTTAATGACTGGGCTGTCAGCCGAAAATCTGGGCCTGAACGTGCGAAATGTGGCCGTCAGCAACTAGTCAATGTTAGGGCAGAACGGAGAGTGGCAAGACTGGTACAAGACAACAGAAGGGCAACAGTGCAGTGTCAGATTCCTCGCATCACCTTTCAACATCTCGTGGAGTCATCTCGTGGCCCAACGAAGTACTGATGGGGTAGTCATAATAATCTGGGCACTCATTGTATATAATGGAAGCTACTTAATAAATATTTGGTGATTATATTTCATTATGATATAGGAAATTATATTGCACAAGTTCTTTGAATAGGGCATTGATGGGGACTGTGCTCCCCCTTTTTTCATTTTTCTATTTAGAGGGTTATTCACTATTGAGCCGAAGGATCTAGCCATAGCTTCGGCTGATCCTTCGGCTTGCTTTGGCTGCCGGAGGATCAGCCACAATAGCCCGTACAGCAGCCAAAGACAGCTGAGCCAAATGCATATGCTTCAGCTCAGCTGAGCTGTAGTGACAGCCAAAACGGGGGGAGAAGGTCGGCCGAAGTCGACCGTCCTCCCTGCAAAAGACAACAGCTGGATGGAGCCAGCCGAGATGTCACGGCTGCCTCCGCCCATTTGTTGTGCTGTAATGACAGATCAGCTTCCTCAAATGACCTGGGGACGCTGATCTGTCATTAAACAACAGCAACTGGGCAGAGCCAGACAGGACGTTAATGCCGGCTCCGCCCAGTTGTTTTTTTTTTTGCCCGGGACCTGCTAGAACACTCTGGCAGGTGCGGGCCAAAAGTGAACAGTTAGGCGGAGCTAGCGGTGATATCACCCAATTGTTTATATTTTACCGGCATCTGTCAGATTATCCATCCTGTGGCGGGCGTTCGTTGCATGCGGGTGACTTTTTTTTAAATTATTTTTTTATATATTTATTATTTTTAATTTTGACGAGTCGTTGTCATCATGGACAACGCTGGACATTGCGATTGACCCTGGATTACGTTGGTGGATCCATTTTTGTTTGTTTTTTTACAAAAAAGGACTTGTGAAAAGTCTTTGTTTCATTATTTATTCCATTAAAAGATTTTTTCTAAAAGTCTGGTCTTTTTATTTATCTTTTATATAAACCCATTAGGGAATGGGTAGGTGTACAAGTACCCCTACTCATTCACAAGGGGGGGGGGCTGCATCTGGTTGCCTTTATTAAAGGGGTACCCTGATGTGAATAAGTCAGGCCTTTCCTCGGATCAAGGGTCTGGTGGGGAATTTTAGGGGGGACCCCACGTCTTTATTTTCCACCGTTTTTGGGGGTGGGGTTCCTCAAAGTTCCTTTCCTACCAGACCTTAAGGGCCTGGTATGACTTTGGGGGGGAACCCCACTATTTTTTTTTTATTTTAACTTGGGGTGCCTCCTAAAATTACTTCCAGACCTAAGGTCCTGGTATGACTTTTGGGGGGAACCCCACGCTTTTGTTTTTCAAATGGGGTCCCTCCTAACTTTCCTACCAGACCCAAAGGATCTGGTAAGGTTTGGGAGGGTGACCCTATGCTGGGTTTTTTTATACATTTATTTAAATCATTTTTAAACATTTTTTTATTCATATGTTTACATTTATTTCTATTCTGCTCGCTACCTCCGAGTTAGCGAGAAGAATAGCCGAGCTGAATGCCGCTTGGAGGCATTCACCTGTTCACTCACTGCCGTTTGGCCCCTGTATTCAGCTGACCAAAGGCAGCCGATGTACTGAGCCGGAGTGAATAGCCGAACTTCGTTTGGCTCTGTTCACTTCGGCTCGGTTATTCACTTGGCTGCCTTCGGCAGCTTTGTGAATAACCCTCTTAGTGATGAGTGCACAGTTTTCAAATCATTGTTGTACCTTGACTATTTTCATAAAATAAGTGTATTAGTATTCAATATTTTCTGCATCATTATTAAATAGATGAAGTTTTACGCAAGCGCATGCTTACATATACATATAACTGATATTACATCACAGGTATATTCATATGAGGCTTGCTTCACACACATAAGTTGCAATAACATGCAGTAAAATTCACATTTTACTATGTGTTACAGCAATGTATGATTACCCATAATTGGCGTTCTGAAATTAGACACCAGCACAACCTAAAATCGTATGTGCATTTCAGTGCACCTCAACTGAAAATGCATTGTGGTACATTGGCAGCTGAATCAGAATGAATGTACTACTTTAATGCCAGAAAATTAATGTTGCGTCACACCAAACGGGTGAAATGGGGGTCTTAATGTTTATTGACATTTCAAATACTGTTAATGTATGCTCAAAAAGTTTATCTAGCATGTTTCATTGTTTAGTCTAAATGAGTGCCCAAATAAAATATTTTCAGTGAAATCTAAATATATGTTAATATCACTGATAACTATATGGTAATCATATACTTAAAAGTTGCAAACTCTTACCTTTTGCTGTAATTGCCTTTTCCAGTGCACTGGCATCCTCTATGGGATTTGACCTGGGCCTTGCTAAATCAACTCCACCTTGTACTTCCTGTGCATTCTATGGGTATTTGGATTGACATCATTTTACTGTATGTTAATTATTAATTAGAACAAATTACTTAAATAAGAACTCCGAGCAAAAGTGTCCTTAACTGCTTGTTGCAAGAAAAAAAAAGTTACCACCGAGCATTCTCTGGTCTCTGAAGCCTGTCTCCTCCTACGCTGCAGCATTGCAATGTTCCTCAGTACCCTCACATCTATACACTGTGTATAGAACGTGAAGATTTACAGGACCTTAGACTGCTGCACCGGTGGGTGACCGGCCTAAGAGCAATAACTATATGAAAATATCACCAGCACTCCGAAGTCCTTTGCAATCACCAAGTGTCCATTTATTGAAAGTCACTAGAACAAGTGCTTTTTGGGCTGCACAGTTCCCCTTCTTCAGGCTCGGCAATGACGATGATGAAGAGGATCCTGTGCAGCCCCAAAAGCGCTTGTTCTAGTCACATGAACTCTCAGTAAATGGACACTTAGTGATTACTAGGGATGCACCGATACCAGTTCAGATACCAGTGCCGATACTTGGCATTTTCATGAGAACTACCAGGGTTGCAGCGGTTGCAGCTGGGACCTGTCTCTGGTGCTCCACCACTGTCCACCACTCCACCACCACTGTCCTGAAATCATTAGTCTGTATTCTTTGTGAAAAACTATCACATGCCAATAAACAAAAATGTATCAGTACTTGGTCTGGAAAACATTGTATTGGTGCATCACTTAAAATACAGCTGCCTCCTAAATTTAGAATTTGTCTCTAATCTAGTCTTGGAGCTGGAAAAGTATCTGTACTTGTACTCGTACCGAGTACGGTACTTGGTACCCTAGTAATTACAAAGGACTTTGGCATGCCGGTGACATTTTCATATAGTAACTGCAGCTGGTGGTGCCATCCGCAGTCACTGCGAGTCCACCCACCCCCTAAAACTTGGGACATGCGGTAAGGCAAGCAACAAGGCATCCACTCGATCTAAGAGCAAGCTGGCTCCTAGGTTCCGGTGAGTATAACCTTTTTTTTTTAGCAGCAAGACACAAACGACCACTTGCAGTGCACGGGTAGTCCCGCTGCAAGGGTTAAGTAAAATTCTGCCCAAGTTCTGCATAATAAAGACTTATAGGCTTTATAGGCTTTTTAATGATTTCTTTTTAATAAAATAATCAGATCAAAGTATGTTAATGTTTTAAAAAACCTTGTTTATATCTACAGTTTATAATTATAAATGCTTATGAGAGCAGCCATAGGTACTAATAAGCACACTCTGCATTTTGCTGATATTCTTTTCTCACTGATATAGTCTGCCTAATTGAAGACAAAATAATATCTTCAGTCTCTTCAGTTCTCTATGAAGAGAAGTTTATTGTTAGGGTTTGATACACTTTGAGGGTACATACACTTTTTCTTGAAATTACACACCAGCTTTCAACCACAGCAACCTGCCATCCACAGGCGCATCACAAATGTCTGAAATTGTGGTGTAAATCAATGAAAATAATAATAAATAATAATAAAAATAATAAATTAAATCTTTGTAATAATAAAGTTTTACTTACAGTGCATGTTTCTTTTATTTGATGGCTGGCCTGCAGTATTTGTTGAACCACGGATGCTTGTTGCTCCATTTTCTAAACAGCCAATAAAATGCATTAGTATGGTTTATAATATATATAATAATAAAATGAATCTAGTATTGGATGATTCAGAGAGAAGATAATATATCAGAACTAGTAATGGTAAATAGTAACTAGTACAGTACAGTGTAACCAGTATATAACACATGGAGTCTATAGGGAAAAGAATATGGTGTCTAAAAGGTGTCATCTAAAGCAGTTTTCCTGTGTTCTATGTACACCTTTAGTAAAGCCAAAAAAATACCACACATCCTTTGATTTGGGTATATTACAGTACCCCTTTATATGACAGAAATGTTTTTCTAAATATTATTTTATTTCTTTAAATAACTAGTATACATTGGGATCGATTTATAAAAAAATTGCAGAGCCATTCACCCTGCAAATCTTTGTGAACATGTGTTCCGTGTTAACAGAGGCAAAAACAAATATTCTTAGTAATTTTCTTTTGAGGTTGAATGCAATGTAATGTAATACTGCATTATGGCTACTAGATGGAGCTGAGGAGCATAGGAAAGAAGTAATTCTTTCCTATGCTTCTCAACTGCCTGTGCTTTTCACATAAGATGCTCCTGTTCAGCGCAGAGGTCTTACAGTTAAGTGGACCTTGCATTTTAATGCATGGTCTGCTTTAAAAAGTGTACTGGCAGATTGTAGCATGTACAGAAAAGATGGAGTGAATTTGGAATATGCAGTGTATATAGATTGTTTTAAAATAGAACTTTGGCCCAAACTTTTTTTTGCCATAGTTCTCTTTTGGGTCACAGGAGGACATTTACTAATGTCCTCCTATTACCCAAAACTCAGCATATAGTGGGCAATTGCAAGCTATATGCTGCCAGCGCAGAGCCGCACTGCAGCCAGGAAAGATCCCGACCATATTGTTGGGATCCACCCCACCCCTCCCCTCTCTCTCCTTCCAGTCAGCGCTGGAGGAAGAGAGAGGGGAGGGGGAATCCCTGCGGGGAGCAGTGACTAACAGACATGGCTCTGTGCAGGGAGAAGACTTGGAACTGAGTGATCATCGGTATACGATCGCTCAGTTCTTGATCTACAGAGCTGGCGTGTGTCAGCTGCAGTGGTGTTTATCATCTAAATCAAGAGAGCATTCTTAGGTGACAAAGCTGCTTCTCCATAGATTCAGTACAGTAAGTGAGTGTAATCACTCTAGGAATGGCAGTGTGTTACTAGAAGGATCACCAGGCAAAAATAAAGGGAAAATGTCTATAAAATAAAAACCAATGCAGTCATCACATCTAAAGACTGGTTAGATGCAATATAATACATTTGTGTGTTTAGCTTAGAAACACTTTAAGGATTAATAAGCATTGAAGGAAGGTAACAGCTTTACCCATTCACCCAAAGTCACATCTTTGTCATTAGTATGTGAACCTTTATGCAGGACTCCTCCTTTCTTTCATCTGTAGCTGTTTAAATACTGACTACAACTAAAGGCCAAAACTTTTATTTTTTTATTATTTTCTGTAGAGTAGGAAAGGGTCAGAAGACCTGTCAATGTTATTTTGTTTGCATGTTTTGTTTTTTCGTGATCTGTGTCCCAGGGGGAGGTGTCCTTCACTTCCCGACCAATAGACACAATAGGAATGGAAGAAAAACTCTCCAAAGTGAGGGAAGCCTTCTCTGACAGTTATCACCAAAGCTAGTGTAGCCATTAGAAGAATTACCCTCTATTCCTATTCCAGAGTTTTACTTAGCAGATCAGAATCTTGGTACTTTTTTCCCCTCTTTTTCCTTTCCCCTTCCTTTTCCGTCTCCTCCTCTCCCCCCTCTTCTCTCCCCCTCCTGACTGTGTCTCATATGTCTATCATATAGACGAGCTGTAAGCTCTTCAAGTCGAATAACGTTGTTTAATTCCTCTACCAATTCCGAGACTTGAGGGGGACTAGTTGACTTCCAGTGTCTTGGTATTACTGCCCTTGCAGCTGCCAGTATTGGACCTAAGAGACCTTTTTTGCAATACTGAAATCGAGCCGTAATAAAGAGACAACAAAGCAACCTCAGGTGTCTCTAATCTATGTAGCCCCGTTAGCTCTTGAGCAATCTCTAAGATCGATTTCCAATATGTTCTTATCAACTGGCAAGACCACCAGATATGTAACATTGTCCCATCTTCCCTAGAACACCTCCAACACAGCTTGGAATTTTTAGGGTTCATCTTATATAGATTTAATGGACATCTACTGTATACCATCTTGTTAATACTTTAAAGTTTCTCCTGAGTCAGAACAGTCCTGAACAGAAATACTTGATTTAAAAGTTAGGAAGAAAATCTTCTTCCACTCCTTCTCTGTAATTACATGACCCAACTCTTGTTCCCAAACTTTGGTGTAGTACGGAAATGTTGGATACATCTGTGATAGTATTACATTATAGAGCTTGGATACCATGGGGGTGATTTACTAACCTAAACACACGCACGCACTAGGTGCGTGTGATTTTTACACAGCAAAACGTATTTATCAACCAAAAAGACTCTAAAAGCATATTTCCACTAATGCCATATGTGGAAAAATCATGCACATGATGCATATATAATGCTGCTTCACAGTTTAGACAAAAATGGTTAGCTCATGCATTTACATTCCTTCATTCATCAACGCAAGCAACACAACATAGAGCTAATTTACTCAACATCACCTTGCAAATTCATGCAGGGCTTTGCACAAAACACCTGCTGGGTGTGTACACACTACAAAGGTGTTTAGATTCCACCCATAGATCATGCTGGGAGGGAACACACTACAGAGGTGTATACATGTTCGTGGTGTGTTTATAAGGTTAGTAAATCAACCCCCATGTGTTTGTCTCCTGCCTTATTTAAGCATATCTCCTCGAATGGAGTTAAATCTCTAAACACTCTATCTTGTGTACAAAGAGCTATAAAAAAGTGTTTTAGTTGGAAATATTCCAACCATTTGCCTTTATTTGACTGATTCATAGGGAGAAGTTCTAGGAGTGGGCGTAGTCCTTTCTCTGTTATGGCTTGTATTATTGTGGAGTTTCTAGAAGTCTCCCACCTCAGGAATCTTCGATTCTTCAAGCAAAAAGGAAAGTCTGGGTTCCCTAGTATAGGTGTTAGTGGGCCCACATATGTTGACAACCCACACTTCCCAACCAATACATCCCATATGTTTAATGTTGATGAAATTACCAAAGAGCTGGTCCATCCTTTATTTCGCTTAGTTGGAGGTATCCAAGGAACAGATGTCAGGGGTACTTCCATCTCTGCCTGTTCCACCGACACCCACAATTTCCGATTTACTGTAGTGAACCAGTCTAATAATCTACTTAGTCCTGCCGCTTTATAATATATCTCCATATGTGGCAAGGCTCCCCCTCGTCCAATTTTCTTTTAGTTATTATGTCATATCTCAGCCGGACTCCTGTTTTATTCCACACATACCGCACCAACAAAGATTGTAGTCTACGAAAAAATACTCGAGGAATCTTTGCCAGGACTGTCTGGTAGATATAGAGAAATCTTGGGAGGATGGCCATCTTAAATAGGGACATCCTCCCAAGCCAATAATGTTTTTTCCTTTTCCATGCCTCCAGGCATAGTTGTGTGGACTCTAACAAAGGAGTATAGTTTAATGCCTTGGTTCTCAACTGGTGGGTCGTGACCCAAAAGTTGGTTGCGACACCATGTTCAGTGGGTCGCCACATGCCTTCCACTTTTCTAGGTGATGGGTTCCTCAGCCTCCTCCTATTTAAAATATGCTGCCCAGATGTGAGCTTAAGGTGCGCTTGAGGTATGGCTGTGTGAGGGAGCTCTAGCCATACATGCATTGCTTACAGCTTCTTCACATGTCCTGTAGAGGTGTCTGGACTGGAGTCATGTCACATTCTGGCTCCTGACACCTCTACGGGGCACACAAGGGAGCTGTACAAGCAATGCACATATGGATGGAGCTCCGTCACGGCACAACAGCCCACACTGGACCCTAGTATCATATATAAGTATCATATGTATGATCTAATATAAAATTTGCAATACCTTTCTTGATAGCCTCTTTTATAGAATCATCTTGAATTAAATTTTCATTCAATCTCCACATAGCTCTAGGTTTCATGGTATTCGGGGGTATAATAGTAAAAAAATTATTGTTACTATGAACTTGTCGTTTGTTTTTGCTCGTTTTGTTACTTTAAATAAAATGTGACCTACAAGTATTGTATGTCATTTTTCCGGATAGTTTGATCATTTTGTTAGCCTTTTCTTCCCCCCTGATTTTCTATTGTTCACTGTATTTGTAGCATTTCCAATAACTAATTTAATACTTGTTATAATATGCCTAATGGCTAAAACTAGTGGAAATTCTCTTTTTCTATTAACTATCAGAAATTCATTTTTTTTGTCTTTGAGGGTTATTCACAGAAGAGCTGAAGGATCCAGCCATAGCTTCGGCTGATCCTTCAGCTCGCTCCGCCCAGTTGTCATGACAGATCAGCGTCCCCAAATGACCTGGGGACACTGATCTGTCATTAAACAACAACAACTGGGCAGGTCGGCATGCAACTTTTTAAAAAATATTTTCTTTAAAAATGTTTTTATTATTTTGTTAACTTTTTTTAATTTTCTTATTTTTTTTACATTCATTTAAATAATTTTTAAGCATTTGTTTTCATTTATTTAATTTTTTTTCTATTCTGCTCACTACCTCGGAGATAGCGAGCAGAATAGCCAAGCCGAATGCCACTCAGCAGCATTCGGCTGATCACTCATTTGGCTGATCACTCACTGCCGTTCAGCCCCTATGAGAATAATGGAGAATGGCAGCGAGCGAGCTGCCAGAGCTTTGGCTCAGCCGATCCAGATGTACGGCTGATTTTAGGCGATGTACGGCTTAAGTCAGCCGTACAAGGCTGAAGTGAATAGCCAAATAGCGTTCGGCTCACTTCACTTTGGCTGTGTTATTCAATCGGCTGCCTTTGGCAGATTTGTGAATAACCCCCTTAGTCTCACACAGGGACACACCCTTGGTTTAATTGTACCTTGGTCTTCCTTTGAAACTATGCCATTTCTACTACTTCATAGGCATTTTCTGAAGTTTTATAGCCTCACTGATAGGATAACTTAGCCAACTGAAGAAAATATGCTCAAATACTGCCTCGCTATATTTCAAGCCTACTTTAAATTTCTCTTTGTGTGCAAGTCATGTTGGTAATTACAAAACCAGGTAGTTTCACATGAGTCACCTTGGATTACAATTACTAATTAAGGTGGAGTTAATAGGAGACCGGTAGTATAGCTAATCTATTCTTTACTTAAAAGGTGAACACGTTTCCTGTGACTCTTTTTCTTTCTTAACGCCTCGGAGCCCTGACAAGCTCAGCATTGTCTGGTTGTTCAAGGGAGAGTTATTTTAAATGAGAGAAAATACAATCTTCTACAGCCAATGGTGGGGACATCTGTGGAGTTTGGATTATAGCATTTGTTGAGCAAATTACCTGAATGGTAACATTTTAATGTTAACTGAAATATATGAAAGCTGCTGCATTACTGAACTCCCTCTTTGCAAATACTGGTTGTCCACTTGTCATGCAATAGCTTCAACATTTAAGTTATGGACAAGTATACAGATCAGGTGTTCTGACTTTGCTCTGACTTCACTTCAGTATTCTTGTTCCGGAACAAATTAAAATTAATAAAGCTATAGACAGCCAACTAACTCAAACGTCAGCAATGGTAGTTGCGAACAGTAACAGTAGTTAAGAACAGTAAATCAAATTAATAAAGTAATTTTCAATCAATAAAAATACTTTTCCTTGGAGTTCTTCTTTAAGGAAAAAAAACATAAAGCATGATCTATAACTTACAACAGCTAAAAAAAGGTTAATTTAATTGAGTCACTTTGTAAGAAAATCTTTGGACACTAGATTTTTCAGCACACAGGTTTCACAATAAAGAGGAGCAGGTAACTAGCCCTGAATTCTGTAACTGCGATATGATATTACATTCATTGTGACCAGCAACTGACATGTCCTGGATTCAATGGCTTTCTGCTATGGCTTCAAAACTACATACTTGTTCATGTTGAGCTGCGTTTTTCTGCACATTACCGTGAACAGAACACATAGGAAAGAAAAGTAAAATCAAGTTCTACACTTGTGTAGGCTGTTTTACAATGACAGTGTTTTACAATGGTTCAGTTTTGACACAAACAATCAATTTCACTTAGAAATTCAATTAAATAAAGCACATTTGTTAAAAAGAAAAGCTTACTTAGAAAAAAAGAAATAATAACTTACCTTTGTGCAGGGTCTGTGTTCTGTCTTGCACTTAAGATCAGAGCTACAGAAGGCATCAAAGACCCATGTTTTTATATTCTTGTGGACCACACCTAAGAGAAAAAAAAACACAGAACCCGTGTAATTGGCTGTGACACAGACTTGATTAAGTTGTTATTCATGTAAAAAAAAAGCAACATGCTTCTAGAAAGATACACACAACAGGGGAACTGATGGGAAAAAAAGAATATACAGTATATACATCTATATATAAATATCTACATATAGATATCTATATATCTATAGATATATAGATATAATATAAACACACTATATTGCCAAAAAAATTGGGACACCCATCCAAATCATTAGATTCAGGTGTTCCAATCACCTCCATGGCCTCAGGTGTATAAAATCAAGCACCTAGGCATGCAGACTACTTCTACGAACATTTGTGAAAGAATGGGTCGCTCTCAGATGCTCAGTGAATTCAAGTGTGGTACCATGATAGGTTGCCACCTGTGCAATAAGTCCATCCGCGAAATTCCCTTGCTACTAAATATTCTACAGCCCACTTTTAGTGGTATTATAATAAAGTGGAAGCAACTAGGAACAACAGCAACTGGTAAGTGGTAAGCCAGGTAAAATGACAGAGTGGGGTCAGCGCATGCTTAAGCACACAGTGCGCAGAAGTCGCCAACTGTCTGCAGAGTCAATAGTTACAGAACTCCAAACTTCTTTGGCCTTCAGATTGGCACAACATCAGTGTGTAGAGAGCTTCATGGAATGGGTTTCCATGGCCGAGCAGCTGCATCCAAGCCTTACGTCAACAAGTGCAATGCAAAGCGCCAGATGCAGTGGTGTAAAACACGCAGCCACTGGACTCTAGAGAAGTGGAGACGTGTTCTCTGGAGTGACGAATCACGCTTCTCTGTCTGGCAATCTGATGGACGTGTCTAGGTTTGGGGGTTGCCAGGAGAACGGTACTTGCCTGACTGCATTGTGCCAAGTGTAAAGTTTGGTGTAGGGGGGGATTATGGTGTGGGGTCATTTTTCAGGGGTTGGGCTTGGCCCCTTAGTTCCAGTGAAGGGAACTCTTAAGGCATCAGCATACCAAGACATTTTGTACAATTTTTTGCTCCCAACTTTGTGGGAACAGTTTGGGGATGGTCCCATCCTGTTCCAACATGACTGCGCACCAGTGCAGTGCACTAGGCAATGGCAGCCGAGTAAATAACCCAGCCCGAGTGCAGTGAGCCGAACAACATTCGGCTATTCACTCCGGCTCAGTACGGCTCACATCGGCTGCACTTCGGCTGAGCCGAAGTGCAGAAGGACTTCGACTCAGCCGATCCAACATTCTCATAGGGGCCAAACGGCAGTGAGTGAATAGCCGAATGCTGCCGGGTGGCATTTGGCTCAGCTATTCTGCTTGGTATCTCTGCGGTACCGAGTAGAATAAAAAAACAATGAAAATATTTTAAAAAGTTGCACAAATATTTTTAAAATGTAAATAAATAGTACAATTAAAAAATAAATAAAGATTTTTTTAAAGCGAAATAAATAATAAAAAAACTATTGGGGGGAGCTAGCAGTGACAGCTAGCTCCGCCCAACTGTTTCCTATTGGCTGGTACCTGCTAGAGTCTTCTAACAGGTTCCAGCCAATTAATAACAACTGGTCGGGGCCGGCCGTGAGTCTGCACTGGATCAAAGACAGGAACCAGCTCTGGAGGGATTGCTGAATACAAGTGGAAAGAATAAGATGATCAGATCAAGAGGCATCATTTAAGATAAGCTCTTAAAGCAGCATTGGCGGAAGGAAAAAAATTGTGACTTTAACGTCACTTTAAAATCATGGTAAAATTTGTATTTTGTTCTGAGAAAAACTTGATCCCAATTTTGGAAATGTGGCTTTATTAAAAAAAAAAAAAAAAGTTAAGTATGCACAAAGTGTCTGTATTCTTGTGAATTCTTGATTCACTAGAACAATGGCTCAGAGGTTACCACTCAAATTATTGACAGTACTCTATGGGGTCTATTTTTAAATAATTGAATCTGGAGGCATCATGACCCTCACATGCTTTATATTAAGATCCCCTATGGAGTTAGGAAACTGTGTCTTTTCCATAAATTCTTGAGATATTTCCCCCATATTATCACAGATAGTTCTGGTCATCACAGCTTCCTTCAGTTCATCCCAAATTACAGCACAGGTTTCCATTGTTATTTTTGCAGCAGTGGAAACACCCATTAGGAAATAGTTATAAAACAATGCGTAAGTAAGAAAGGAACTGACAGTTTGTTATTAATGCGCTTCTTAGAGCCAAACTAGACAGGAACTTTTTACTGCCAGATATTTTACGGCCAACATGTAGCAAACTGTATTTGACAGATCTGCTGATGGATCATACAAGGTTGGCTTATAACAGCAGATCAGGCTAACATCTGAATTTGTTATATACTTTCTCCATATCTGTGCTAGGAAACTGATGTTTCTAAAAGTCTATGGGGTCTATTCACAAAGCTGCCGAAGGATCTTTACCCATAGCTTTGGCCCCAGCCCTTCAGTTCATCTGTCATTACTCTCCCGGATGCTGTGGGAGTCTCCCGCTATTACATAGCGGCTCAGGGGCGCCCAGGAAATGTTTACTGTGCTCGATCGAGGGGAGGTTTTTTCTGACATGGGGCCACCGTCAGTCAAAAAAAAAAAGCCAGCATAGGAATGCATAGCTATATTCCTATTGGCTATTTCACTTTGCAATAGTCAATAGCAAACTAGCTATTGCACCCACCCACTGCTGCTGTCAATCAGCAGAGGTGGACCAGCAGCAGTGGGGGGCACAATAGCTAGTTTGCTATTGGCTATAGCAAAGTGAAATAGCCAATAGTAATATAGCTATGTATTCCTATGGTGTTTTTTTTTTATTCTGATGGCAGCAGAACCGCCAGGCCAATAGAAAACAGTTGGGCGGAGCTAGCTGTCACTGCTAGCTCCGCCCAATCATTTTTTTTTTCTACTTTTAAAAACTATTTTTCTATTCTGCTCGGTACCTCAGAGGTACCGAGCAGAATAGCTGAGCCGAATGCTGCTCGGCGGCATTCGGCTATTCACTCACTGCTGTTCGGTTCTATGAGAATAGGCCAAACAGCAGTGAGTAGTGAGTAGAATAGGCCAAACAGCAGTGAGTCGAACTTCTTCTGCACTTGGGTCGGCCGAACAGGCTGAGCATGTTTGGCCGACCAGAAGCCAGCCGAAGCCACCTGATGTATGGCTGATTTCAGCCGATATACAGGTGAAATCAGCCGTACAAGCCTGAAGTGAATAGCCGAACAGCGTTCGTCTCACTTCACTTCGGGTCGGTTATTTACTCGGCTGCCTACGGCAGTTTTGTGAATAGACCCCTATGTAAGCTGCACTTGGTATGTACTACTAGTAAGAAATGCTAAACATTGCATGTAACTACAAATCACTGTGGCCTTGGCAGATAGAGAGCATTAAAGCATTTCAATATATTGTGACAGGGCAATGGACATTGCTTATTAAATCCTATTGAAATTTTCAACAGTGTTTAAATAAATTGTTAGCGTTTGAGTTAAAAGCATTTACACTTATTTAACCTCACTGTAAGTAGTTCTTAAACGCAAGAATATCTGTCATTTACTGAGAATGGTCTTTTGTTTCTTTGACATTGTGGAATGTATTTACTTTACAAAGTCCAACTTTTGGCCTCATTCACACACGAATCGGCCTGCATGTATAGCTCCGTGCTGCATGCGGGGCCGTACCAAGTAGCTGCCGGGAAGGACAGGTGCTGCGTGTGATTAGAACACAGCCCCCGTCCTTTTCTATGGGGCTACGCGGCCGTACGCCCCCCTACGCTCACCCCATTTGCAGGTCCATAGGGGTGCGGGTTTTCTGGCCGGGACGCATACATGTTCCATTCCGGCGGCGTATGGATATGATCACCCGCACCCCTACGGACCTGAAAATGAGGTGAGCGTAGGGGGGCGTACGGCCGCGTAGCCCCATAGAGAAGGACGGGGGCTGCGCACGCAGCACGGAGCTGTACGTGCAGGCCGATTCGTGTGTGAATGAGGCCTTTATCTTAAGCTTTGACAACTTAAAAAATATGATGACAATAAATAAAATGTAATAGTGCGATGAAAGGAACTGAAAATACTACTTTTCGTCTGTATTTTGCATTAGCCTATTTCCCCTTTACAGTTCTTCCCATGAACTTATTGTAATTTTAAGACACACCTATTTCCCAGAGTATGAAAAAGCTTCCAGACGTCATTCATAACAATACACCCTTATTATATCTTTATCCATTTACTGTTTTAAGCTGCTCCTTTTAGAAAAACTGTTTAATAATGTACTTAACAAGATATTATTTTATGTGTAAATTAAATGGCTAAAATTGCATATAAGCTTCAACATGGTAAAGTAATTTCAAATGTAATTTTCAATCTTTTTAAATCTGCAGGTTTAACTAAAGTAATATCTGGTGATCCTGCCATGAAGGTCTCTGTACACGCAAAAAGACAATTGTTTCTGAAACACAGTGATTTAGCAATCTAAATGGCATTCAGTTTAGGTTTAACATTTGCAGGTGTTTATCTCTGTCAGTGGGGTTGATTTACTAACCTCACAAACACGCCACAA